ATCGATTCACATGTTAACGCCATCTATTGATAGATTCTCAAAACCAACTAATTGTATTTAGATTAATTTCCAATAGATGTCGTTTACAATTTATTTTATAACAAAAGATAGAGCTTACTATAAATTTGTGAAATGTTTTATTACACAAGAGACGAGGTTGTATTTAACATGACACTAGTATCTTTCATAGAACCGGTACCGCCTATTCAATATATTTTAAACATCTTTGGGGAAGACAGATGCCATACCTGCCAATCTTGATGATCTTTTCGAACTCCTTGGACTTGGCGTCTAGCGTGTCTCTGAGTGCCACTAAGCCGGGCATGAGGCGGTCTCGCAGCTCCATAGCGACGGACACGTGCATGGCGGTGGGGTACGTGTCGTTGGAGCTCTGGGACTTGTTCACGTGGTCGTTGGGGTGCACGGGGTCCTTGCTGCCCAGAGTACCGCCCAGGATCTGGATCGCGCGGTTTGCGATCACCTAGAAACGTAGAATTATTGACTATAAATGTAAAATAGTGCTAGAACCCTTAAAGACCCCAATGCCTAGTGGAAGCAATCCTTCCATGCACACTTTCATGGGTATATGTTCTAGAGGCCTTGCTTAAGTACTCCTTCTCTTTCCATACTTTTACAAGGAGAGGATTGAAAAGTGGATATGACGGGAGATTGGAAGAAAGTAGCGGAAATATCATTTTTAGCACATCCCCTCTGTGACACCCCATTTGAAAATGCCGATATCAGTGACTTCCGTTTATGCCTTTCCCAATTATTTGGTGTCCATCTTGTTCTAAGTCTCCAAACACCACGATAAGAGTCGAGATCGATTTCTGTCAGATACTTATGGATTATCACCTCGTTTATCACCTCATCATACTTTATACTAACATAATAAATGCGAAAGTTTAGATGGATGGATGTTTGTTAGAACTTGTAGCCTTAACAGCTGAACAGATTTCGATAAACTTTGGTATCGATGGGGATAGTTTGGAAAAACACATAAGCTACTTTTTTTTGTTTTTTTTTCATTCACGCGGATAGAGTCGCGGACGAAAGCTAGTATATAAGTGTAACCTCATTGGTGTTCATGTTGCTCTGCGTGCCGGAGCCAGTCTGCCAGATGACGAGGGGGAAGTGTCCCTCGCGGTACAACTTGCCGGATATCACGTCGTCCGCCGCCTGCATTATCGCCTCCGCTAAAGCCAGTAACAGCTTATTAAACCTTACTAATATACTAAAGTTTACATGTTTGTTACAGTTTGTGGCCTAAACTACATAACAGAACTGGATGAAATTTGGCATCGATGTAGAGGATAGTCTAAAAAAAGTCAGAGGCTATTTTTTTTCTTTTAATTCCACGCGATTAGAGTCGCAGACAAACGCTAGCAATTCTATAAGACACAATGACTACAATCACGCAGCGACCAGAAACCTTGGACTCCCATATTAAACGTCTAGACTTCCGTTTTTTTTATTTTATATTTTTCGATTCACTGGGATAAGGTGCTACAGTTCCCCCCTGGCGACTCCTATGCTTGATGTTATACTAACATTGATAGGCAAATCATGACAGTTTCTTAAATAAATCTTAAAACAATAGACTTCTTAGTTTTTATTCTACTTTGAATGTTAACAAACATATAATAAAATTAACATTATTTTATGGAAGATTAAATTACCTAATTTCTTATCAAGACCAAACTCCATGTTGACTTTTGCAGCGGCTTTCTTCAAAATGCCCATGGCTATAATTACAGGGTACTGTGAAGTTTAAAAAAAAAACAATTTAATTTTTACTTGGACTCGTAAGTTACTTTAAAACTAACTTATGTTTTATTGTATAGTATAGTATAGAGTATACTATATTGCATTGTAATGAGAAACTAAGTGGAAGTGTGTCATACGTGAGTCGAGGTAAGGTCGAATTAGTTGCAAGTACAAGTTGCAGTGTTCTGTCATTGACCTCACTAGCTGTACCTAATCACTTCAAGTTACAAATTAAACGTACCTACACGTAGGCAATAACATGATACCACCGCCGATGACGCATGCTTTTACAACATACACATTGCATTTACAATAATTAGAAGTATAAGTACTGTCTCACCACTGGCTGATAGAGGCTCAGATAGTTTATAAATGACGTCACTGTCAGATAAGGTAAAAAAATCCGCTATATCAATTTCAATAGACAATTTACAATTTGGTAGGATGGGCTAAAGCCCTGATTAAGATCAGTCTTACCAAATTGTAAATTGTCTGACAACAATCGAAAGTGTTAAATATGTGATGGAAATATAGCATTTAGTTCATAGGATATGGATCTGACAGTGACGTCATTTTTAAGCTATCTGACAGTGGTGGAACAGGCTCTTAGTGTCTTCCTGTATAGTCAGCTGCAGAAATCGGACCATTTACAAAACTTATAATACACGTCAAAAATATGTATGACGTGCAGTATGCTTTCGAGTATCAATACTGGACAAATATCAAAAGGCTTTACAAATATCTAATGTTTTGTAAACACGTATGTTTTTATGTAGCCGACTGTACATACAAGAAGAAATTTGAGTAGACTGTAGTCACATTTGTACATTATACTAAGTTATTTTTTCACGAACTCAAATAAGCCAGCATTGTTTAAATACATGAACCCAATTTCCATTTAGCGACAAACCGCGCGAGGGTCACGCACGTCATTTCCACTGGCGTTACCGTGACGGCGAAGTGAAAATGACCATATCGTTAACTCACCGGCATTCTCTCCTCGATGCCACCAATGGGAAAGTTCATGACAGACCGCACAGTTTGAGCACCGTACAGCTTGTCATCGGGCACGTCCAATTCACCCATAGTGTCTTTTTCTTTCCTCTGGAATAACAATTTAATTCAATTCAATAAAACGGTGATACTAATAATCTGCAAGGTTACTTAGACCAGCAAATAATGCGTTGTAATTTGTTAGAAAAACAATCTTACTTCTTACTAATATTATACTAACGTTCGCCTTGGACTCCATTAGCATGGAATTGAAAAAAATCAAAAGTAAGTAGCCCATGTGTTTTTCCAGACTATGCACCAAAGCTGCCAAATTTCATCCAGATACGTTCAGCAGTTTTGGCTACAAACTCTAACATCCATCCATCTAAACTTTCGTTTTTATATTACTAAGATATTATAAGTAAGATAAAAATGATCGTTACGCACTTCACCACAACCCCAGTGGAAAAGGCAACTTAATGGCTTCTCACGTCAAACAGTATATCAGAAATCCGTGCAGATTCGAACCCAACCCATGAGCAACCAAAAGAACCAAGTCAAACTATATTGTTTCATATTTCTAGGTTTTTAAATTAAATAAATGACTTTAATAAGTAATTCTTGCATAAGACGCAAACATCGTGTTGAATAAATATTATATCATCTATTTTATTTACACTGATAACCTTTCCACGATTAACAAAATTAAATGAACTACAATTATATGTCTTATGCCAAAGCAATAGAAATCTAATATGAATTTCATAATATACATCGTCCCAAGAGCCGGCCATCGGTCAACGGCATTAATTACAAATACTATTTGCTTACCATTTTCACGGGCTTGCCCTCCGGGTTCAAACACGTAGTGCACGCCATCACTGTATAATTCTATCCACAAAACTCAATAAAATTTAGATAAATTTAAACTAATAAAATTAACAAAATAATTCTTGCCCGAATGACAATTCGGTATTCAGCAGGTTATACGTCACATTCAAAAAAGAATAAAGAAAAAACAAAAAACCGTCTAAGCGGCCAGTACTTCTTTTACTTTTTAAATTGCCTGCTTGCAGCGAATGGTTGTGGCAAAATAATCGACTGTTTTTGTTAGACTTGAAGCCACGTATATCAGTTGGTAACAAATGAAACCAGTCGCGTCCCCTCTCTCGGTGTCGAGACGGGCCCGGCGCGCGCGCAATTTTATAACACGTTTATCTATACATGCGGCTACACACCGCAAATGGCGTGGGAGTACTGATTTAAACGCGAACCACGATAACAATAATGACTGTTTTTATTTAAACGATTTTAACTTGTTGCCGGCTTCTGTTGTTACGGTCATGAATTCATCACGTGCTTTGAAATATCTTAATTTTTACGCGCGTTACATGCACGACACGTAAAAAATTACATCATGTTACTTTGCCTTGCTAAACAGTATAATTGTTGGTTACACTCGTGTTTTTCATATAATTCCGAAATATTCGCCTGCAACGCACATAAAACTGGAATTCGTAAAATGCATGACCTACGACGAGCGCTAGAAACCTGAGCTTCGAAAGTTCTAGAATCTATAAAATTGATTGTTACATGAATTAAATAAATTATTATTATTATTATTATTATTGAACAATGATAAGTCAATAGCTAGAAATCATACACCCTCTTAGTTCACAATAGAGTTGCTCAGTTTCGAAGGCCAGTCAGATTGTATCGACGTACTGGCACCAGTTGACAATCCAGTTATTAAGCGCTACAGACCAACTGTAATGGCCAAGTATGTACCAAGCATTAATCTATCTCCGTTTTATAACCTCGTCATACCGATTTTTACGAGTTTTATTGATTGCAATCTCTAATTGACATTGTATTGAATATGCAACTAGCATGGTATACAGAATCCATATCTTTATACACTAGAATCTGCCTTTTAAGTTTTTTTTTTATAACATAAAGTGGCTAACGAGCAAGCGACCACCTGAACCCGCCAAAATAGCAAGCGACCGCTGCCCATAGACATCTGCAATTGCAGAAGCGTTGCCTACCCTTATCCGACGGAGAAGGAGACGCACATAAAGAGGATACTTCCCCTTCCTATGCATTTCCTCCACCGTCAAATCCACTTCCTCTTCCCACCCTCTTCTTCCCTCTCTTAGGCCTTTAAAAGTGGTAAGGACCAGTCTTAAAAGTTAAAGTTAAAGAGCGTTGGTGGCGCAGTGGTTTAAGCAGTTGCCTTGTAATCTACAGGTCTTAGGTGGGAACCCCGCCTTGTATCAATGTGGTTTTCAATTTTTCGAATTTTCATTTGTGCATAATTTACCCGACGTTCTTATGGTGAAGGAAAACATCGAGATGCAACCTGAACATATCAGTAAAGAAATTCACAAATATGTGTGAAGTCAACCAACCCACAGTAGGCCAGCTTGGTTTGACTATGGTATAGTCACCCCGTACTTAGGGTAGGCTGCGAGCTCCTCAGTGGAGACATATATGGTAATGAGCTGGTGATGGTGAAGGACCAGTGAGAGTAGAGAGACTGGTGGTTTACCACCACACAGAAGACAGATGTGAAGTTGAAGTAATTATTTTTTTCATCTGGTGTGTGTCCATACCGTAAAATTTAATCTATTTTACCGCTTTTCCTGTAGAAAAAAAATAGTAGGCAACACATTTGTAAACGTGGATGTCTATGGACACTGGTTGCATTATTTTGGCGAATTAAGCTTGCCGTTGGATTGTTTACCACATTGTAATATAAAAAATTTGGGAGGTAAAAAAGACTATCGCATAGAGTGTCAACTGTAGAATATAATTTCCATTTTCGAAACTATTAAAAGAAGAGAGTGTTCACCTTTTCTTGTAAGATTATTATTTTTCAAGCTAGGTTTATAATTAACATTTGATTTAAAAGGTCTTTAATACAAAATAACATAATATAGTATTATTGCTAAACAATTACATCTATGTAAAAACAAAATAATTTAATTGCTTTCTCATAAACACTAAAATTCAAATTAGAATTTCAAAATTGAATTTACTCTCATTAAATAGAAAATACTTAAGTATTAAATTGATGTTTATTTTGCTTCATTACAAGTTTTATTCATAACAATGGCCTTGTTGATATTATGTAAAAAAACTATAAACTTTCCTAAGAGATTAATATTGCATGCATAATTTACATAACAATTGTCATATATTTTTCATTGTGTACGAGATTGTTTAAATTATACATTGTTATGAACACAATAGTTATAACTGTGTTGTACTTTGTACAGTTGTATTATATCCAGTAACAATATAGAAATCCAACAGTGGGATTTAACCTCCCCAGGGGGGACAAGGGAGGGTATCTGTCTTCTCCCCTGTTCTGAGAGTCAATAAAAGAAAAATAGTTATAGAAACAAATTAAGACCATATTAATGCTAAAGAAAGCCCATGCAATGGTTTTCTTCTTAATTTAGATACTGGATATAGTCGTATGTAACAAGGTTAGTTATGAGTGTTGAAAGATACACCAGTAAAAGGCCCAGAGGCGGATGGATTGCGTTAAAGCCGACATAATCAACAAGGGAGTGATGACTGACATGATGGCTGATAGCATTATTTGGAGAACGAAAAACTCACATGCCAACCCTATGGTAATAGGTTAAGGGGGAAGGTAATGTACTGAATATTGTAGCATTCAGATCGTTGTTTGTAAGTAGACTATGTTTTACCTAAAATAATAAAAAATGCGGCTGGTAGAAGGAATACCACAAAAATAACCTCAAACTTTACTACTTTGATTTCACAATTTTTTAGCTAAATCTATTTTGTATATGGTAATGTTGGTGCTCATGGCTTCATCTATACTAACATTATTAATACTCCTCTTTACATTTGTATTTTTGTATGTATTGAAATAACTCAAAAACTACTGGGCCGATTACAAAAATTCTTTCACCATTATAAAACTATGTTATGTGTAACATAGGCCATATTTTTTTTAATAACATGCGGACAATGTTGCGAGCAACAGCTACTTATAGATATATGAAGTATGAAAAACATTACTATATACCCCTCAGGAACCAGACATTATTTGGTGATGAACCATATCCCATGAGTTTTTCAGACTGGTTTATATCCTTGCCAAATTTCAATAAGATATGTTGTACCATTGGTTTTGTTTTAAAAAATTGTATTATTAAACTTTACTAAAAATTAGACAAAATGTGGCTTTTGATTTACTTCATATGGTCTTCTTACTTCTCGTTGCACTTTTGTATTCCAGATTATGTATCTATAGTCTTGTATCTATGCTATACAATTAATTAAATTAAATTGTCTGTACATAATGTAAAAAAAAACTTTTGTGAACATAATGAAAAGCCAAGTTTAAAATATTTTTGCCTGTTGCTTGAACTTCGCGATTGCTCCGGGTATTGTTTGTAACTGTTCAAACCGGACTTGAAACTGATATATTAAATCATTAGCTACTTTGTGCTTTGTGGCGAAGTTACGGGCAAAAGCTAGTTATATTTATATATAATTTATATGATACGCATTATAGCCAGGCTCAATAATAAGAAAGACACAGATTTATGATTCAAACAGATAAATGTAATCAACAATTATTTTGAGTAACGTTCCCGCCTTAAGTTGAGAAAGCTGAGGATACAATTCCATAAAAAAACAAGATCTACTCTAAACTAGTAGAACTTTAAGACATTCCCAAAACAAACACGGAGGCTAGAACACCAAATCGTAATAATATTTTAATTATTTACATGTTTTAATGTCCATATTTATAAGAAATATACCGGTTATGCAACTTACGAGTTTCATGTTTGTCGTTGAAAAATCATGTTTGTCCAGAAGGCTGATGGCACCTCGAAGCTTAGTTGAAGTACGTGAAAGTGTAGCACAAATCTTAAACATGGACACAGCCATGATTTATAAATTAAAATATTAAAGCTGGAATTAAGTTTTTATCGAAGAAAATGACAGAAATGTGACAGATCATATGTCTATCAGATTTTTTTTTCGTTGAGTTTCGCAACATTGCCAGTATGTTGATGGTTTGAGATTACCCTGATTTATAACTAAACCTTTCGCAGACTTTCACTTCTATTTTAAGCACTGCTAATCTGTAGCATGCGAAGAAACCGCAAAAGAAATAATTTAAATTGTATGTGATTTTCACATTAAATGAACGAATCCGTACTACATTTCTGAACGCTTCTATACAACAGTGCTGCCTCTGTCGGTTAAAATACGTACTATTTAGGAGCCATCGGACGCGGTCGGCTCTTTTCGGTTCAGTCACGCCTAGACTCGTTCGAAAAGCGAAACTATAATCATTCCACGGCGATGTACGAAGACTGATGCTCATGTCGTGGACTCTCTGTGCAAACGGGACATTTTACTAATTTTGAACGGGCTTAGCTTATTCGACATAGTTATATTATACAAATAATGTTGTGATAAAGACGGTCGCTTGTGGTGTTGTGTTATCGTTATAAATTATAGTGAGATCATTACAAAGAGAATATTGTGAAGTGCATTCTAGTGATTATTACGTTATTGTCAACGTTCCTGGATACCAAAGGATTGTTTTTTGAGATCTTAGAATTACATAAGGTAAGTTCTACTCTTAATACGGTGTAATTCGTTCAGCAGTGCGTGGCGTTTGGAATGGCTTCCGTCTATCGAATCGCGTGCGCGGTAATGGCTGACTTTCTTTTCCGTCCTACGTCAAAGAAATAGACCTAGATAACGTCCAAAAATTAATATAATCTTTTGTTTTATTGTATTCTAAAAATATGTGATGGTATTTTTATGGGACGCGGACATTACTAGTTATATTACGGTGAGTGGGTGGATGCAGGGAATGCAACCAAATTGAACAACCGGTCGCGTTCGTACGGCGTAATGTTGAATCTCGCCTTTGGGGTTATCGGATTTTTAAAGATACAGACAATTTTTATTCTTTTGGATTTCATGGTTCATGGCCATTGCGATCACCTCGTGTAACATATCATTTTGTTTCATTCGAGTAAATTTTTAGATCATTAGAATCCCTAACTATAATGAACAATAAAATGTTATTATCATGTGCAATGTTAAAATATACAAGAACCAGTTGTTCAAGTTGAGATAGGAAATCGATGAGCCCAAACGGGCCTTAAAATCGTAATATTTGTTGTTCCAGGTCTCGACAGCAAAACAAGGACGGTGTCCCCACATTATGAAAGTACGCTTTTATATACGCGTATGATCAAGTAGACCGTCATATCGAAGCCCGTCCGATCTAATTCCGTCATGGCTATCCTGTAAGTATAGAATCGATGTCGTCAATGTGTTCAGTTTTTTTTTTTTTTTCAAATATTTAGTTCCATTTTTGTTATTTTTATTTCCCGTTGCGCCACCACGTTTGCTCCCCGTATCGAACAGCATGCCAAGTATTTTGTGTTACTCCCAATTATAATGTTGAGGCTTTCGTCGGGTGTGTAAAAATTAAAGATAAATTGCACTGGCCGAAGGCCGCCGAAACCCGTTCTTCCCCGTACTAACCTATATTTGTTCGCGTGTAATTTTCCGGATGCGTAATATTCCGATAAGATCGTAATTATCCCAATTGTGCAAAGGTTAGTACTGAAGATAGAAGGACGGTGATTGGGCGTCCTTTCTCGCTCTGATCGCACTGGCGCGCCGCGTCTGCACCGAATCGCGTACGATGTAGGCGGTCTTGGGTTCAGGTCCGTGGCCGGCGGGGCGCCGTGCGATAGGAACGGATGGCTCCAGTGCGTGCGGCTGACGACTAGTTCACATCAGGCGGTTATAACCGTGCGATTACAGACCAACTATTACATTGATAACAAAATACACAAGCCCTTGACACACTAGCGTAGATTTTGTTACTTTTCTCAAAGAATTAAATTCTTAATATTAAATGGATGTGGCAACACAAGAAAGATGGCAGAAGAGACGCGATTTGGTGTTGTCAAGTTGATAGACATAACGGCGAGGTGAAGGACTCGCTCTGTTGTCGCCGCGTGATGTGAACTAGCCGTGACGTGTCGCGTTGCAGATGGGCGGGCGGGGAGCCGCGCGGACTGCGACGATAGGCGGGCGGCCCGATGCGCCCGCGTCATGTGGCGCGTCCTACTGGCCCTGGCGGCCCTCGGCGCCGCCGACGGCTCCTACGACGTCGTGCGCTCCTTCTCCGACCCTCTCGCCACCCCCGCGTCGCTCTTCAATCACCTGGTCGTCGATCGCAACACCGGCCGGGTCTACGTGGGTGCCGTCAACAGAATATACCAGCTGTCTCCTGAACTCGAGGTCGCCCAGTCGTTCGTCACCGGACCGGTCAACGATTCGGCTCTCTGCACCTTTGATTGCCCTCCGAGTTTCGTGAAGAAGCCCACCGATAACGTCAACAAGGCGCTCGTCATCGACTATGCAACTAGCCGCCTCATTACGTGCGGCTCGGTGTTGCAAGGATTGTGCTCAGTGCGGAACTTGAATAACATTTCTCATGATGTGCGCGAAGTGCGCGAACCGGTGGTTGCGAACAACGCCAGCGCATCGACCGTGGCTTTCATCGCTCCCGGGCCCCCCAACCCTCCCATGACGCAGGTTATGTACATCGGCGTCACCTTTACCGGCAACTCTCCTTACCGCTCCGAAGTGCCCACCGTAAGCAGTCGCTCTTTAGAGGATGACCGTCTATTCATGATAGCCAGAACCGCTGTTACGACCGGCACCAGAATGTTCGTAAATTCTCTATCCCGAGAACGATACCCTATAAACTATGTATACGGCTTCAGTTCAGAAGGATTCAGTTACTTCTTGACGACTCAGCTGCGCGGCGTCGGCTCCGATACGTATTATAGTAAGTTGGTGCGTGTGTGTCACGATGATGAAAACTACTACTCGTACACAGAAATACCGATGTCCTGCACGGGTGAGGGTGGCGGAAACTACGGCTACAACCTCGTGCAAGCTGCCTTCGTAGGAAAAGCTGGTTCTGTGCTATCCTCTGAACTCGGAATAACGCCGCAGCACGACGTCCTTTTTGCTGCTTTCAGTCAAAGTGAGTCGATAAATACGAACACGCCATCGAATCTGTCGGCGCTTTGTGTTTACTCTCTAAAGGCAATCCGTCGCAAATTTATGCAGAATATAAAAACTTGCTTTAGTGGCAATGGCTCGCGGGGCCTAGATTTTATATCGCCATCCCATCCTTGCATCTTAACTAAATTACAATCGATAAGCGAAGATTTTTGTGGGTTGGATGTAAACACGCCGTTGGGGGGTGAACAACCAGTGGAAGCAGTTCCAGTGGCCAAATTCGAGAAGAGGCTGACTGCGGTGGCGGCCACAGCGACCGGTGACTACACTGTCGTGTTCGCCGGCACGGCCGAGGGACATCTCAAGAAGATTGTCGTCGAGAGCGCTACTTCAGCCTTTGAGTATGGAGATATCGTGATCGATGAGCGTTCGCCGGTCAACAAAGACTTATTCTTCGATACTCAATTAATGCATTTATATGTGATGACCGAGAGCAAAGTGTCTAAAGTGAAAGTTCAAGAGTGTAGCGTATACAAATCGTGTTTAACATGCCTCGGTGCCAAAGACCCGTACTGTGGTTGGTGTTCCTTAGAGAATAAGTGTAGCCTTCGATCGGACTGTCAGGAGGCGGCAAAGGATCCTTTGTACTGGATATCGTATCGTAGTGGACGATGTACGACAATCACTCAAGTTACACCGAATCAATTGCAACGAACTACTGCAAGGACTTTAGATTTACACATAGAAAACCTGCCAACACTCAATGGTCAATTTTTGTGCGCATTTACAGCTTTAGACCGTACGCTTAAAACTAATGCTACTCGGAAAACTAACGGTGTAAATTGTACTACTCCACGTACCGATACCTTGCCGCCGATACCCTCCGGCCAGCATCATTTCACTGCCAAGCTGTCAGTGCGCACGACACAGGGACCCGATTTCGTTGCGACTAATTTCACATTTTTCGACTGTAACACTTATAGCTCTTGCACTCAGTGCGTAAGCTCGTCGTTCCCTTGTGATTGGTGCGTTGACGGTCACCGCTGCACGCACGACACGGCCGAGAACTGTAGGAACGACATCCTTGTCACTGGGATCAGTAGAATCGGGCCTAGCTACCGTTCGGGCCCAAGCTTCTGTCCCACTATTAATTCCACTTCCGACGGCACTAATGAGATTCTCGTTCCATCCGGTGTTAAAAAGGCTATTAAAGTAAAAGTTCATATAATTGGTCAATTTATTGTTCAGACGAGGTTTGTATGCCAGTTTAATATTGAGGGCCGCGTGACCCACGTGAATGCCAAGCTTCTCGCCGATACGATTTATTGCGAACCTGTTGAATTTACTTATACGTCTCGTGCTCCGAATATAACCGCATCTTTTGCCGTCATATGGGGTGGATCTAAACCGTTAGATAATCCGGACGACACTCACATACTCATATATCGTTGTAGCGACATGGCGGATAATTGTGGTATATGTTTGGCTCTGCCCGAGAAGTTCGGTTGCGGTTGGTGTCAGGGATCGGATCGATGCGAAGTACAAGAACAATGTGGAGCTCCCAGTGTGTGGTTGAATCGGACCCAAACGTGCCCCAATCCGGAAATCCATTCTTTTAGACCGCAACTGGGCCCGTGGGACGGAGGTACGAATATAACTATCGAAGGCATAAATCTAGGTCGGAACATATCAGATATCTACAATGGCGTCACGATAGCTGGTATCAAATGTCAGCCAATAGTCGAATTGTACGTAAAAACGCGGCGTATAGTTTGTACCGTGGACGGTCCCGGTGAGGAGGTCCCGCGAGACGGTCCCGTCGTTGTCAGAGTCGCTGACTATCGCGGCGAATCGAAACATCATTATGCCTTCGTGAATCCTAAAATAAATTCCATTCAACCGAAATACGGTCCACAATCTGGTGGAACTAAATTGCGTATCACTGGCGAGTATCTGAACGCCGGAAACAATATTCAAGCTTTCATTGACGACTTACCGTGCGCGATTCTTTCCGTTTCTCACGAGGAAGCCGTATGTCGTACGAGCCATTCATACCAACTTAAAATGGGTACGTTACGAATGCGTTTTGACACCGGAGTGCGGAAACTGGAACGCGAAAAGTTTGAATATATAGAAGACCCCGTGGTCGAATTCGTTGAGTCCGGCCCACCGTTAACGTCGCAGCGAAAGCAACCCAAAGGCATTCCATCCGGAGGGATAAACATTAAAGTGATGGGTCGTAACTTTCATTCCATTCAGTTCCCACAAATATATGTATACCACGACAACCGACCGTATATAGCTCCTTGCCATAGAGTTGATTTTCAGACGCATCTCATTTGCGAATCCCCCGGTATCGAGAGTGCGGGGCTCAATCTAGATCCGGACAGGCCTTTGGAATTAGAATACGGATTTAATATGGACGACGTCCAGAGCGTACAGAATCTGACCAGTAAAACTGGCAACGCTTTCCTTCTTTATCCGGATCCTATTTACGAGAAATTTGACGAGGACGTTAAGTATTATAAGTCCGAATATTTGACTATCAACGGTCAGAACTTGGATAGGGCATGTACTGAGAGCGACGTAGAGGTGCGCATCGGCGAAAGCGTGTGCAACGTGACATCGTTGGCACGCCACCAGCTGACCTGCCGGCCGCCGGCACGCGACGAGCTGCCGGATGGCGTGGTCTCACCCGAAGTGGTAGTACGCGTGGGCCGCGCGCTCACCTACAAGATCGGCAAGCTATCGTACGACTCCCAGACCGGTCTGCAGGCGGCCATCGGGAAGCCGATCCTCTTCGGCGTTAGCGCTAGCGTATTCGTACTCATATTTATATTTGTCGTATTTCTAGTTATGTATAGGCGTAAATCCACTGAGAATATTAGGGTATTGAAAAATATGCAGGAGCAAATGGATATTTTAGAGTTAAGAGTGGCGGCCGAGTGTAAAGAGGCATTTGCCGAACTTCAGACTGAGATGACCGACCTGACGGGAGACGTAACGGGTGGCATTCCGTTCCTGGACTATCGCACGTACGCGATGAAGATCTTGTTCCCCAACATCGACGACCACGCCGTCCTGCAATGGGAACGACCAGAGCTTAGTAGAAAAGAGAAAGGTCTGAAACTGTTCGGCCAACTGATAATGCATAAAACATTCCTATTATTATTTATTCGTACTTTAGAAAGCAATAGATATTTTTCAATGCGAGACCGCGTTAATGTAGCTTCTCTTATTATGGTAACTTTACAAAGTAAGATGGAATATTGTACTGATGTTTTAAAAACGTTGCTGGCAGAGCTAATCGAAAAGTGCATGGAGGGGAAAAGCCATCCTAAGTTATTACTGAGGCGTACCGAGAGTGTCGCTGAAAAGATGCTCAGTGCATGGTTTACTTTCCTCTTGTATAAATTCTTGCGCGAATGCGCTGGCGAACCGCTTTACCTTTTATTTAGGTCGATGAAAGGTCAAGTCGACAAAGGCCCGGTGGACGCGATCACTTCGGAGGCGCGTTATTCTCTGAGCGAAGAGAAACTCATTAGACAATCTATAGATTTTAAAGCGATGTCCGTGAGCGTATCGATATCGCAACAGACTATCTTCGTGAGTGGTTTGGAAGCGACGACAGAAAATGTCCAGGTAAAAGTCCTCGATTGCGATACGATTAGTCAAGTGAAGGAGAAATGCCTCGATGCGATTTACCGCGCGACGCCGTACTCGCAGAGGCCAAGCCGCGACGAGCTCGATTTGGAATGGCGCACGGGCGCTTGTGGTCGACTGATTCTGTACGATGAAGACAGCACTACTAAGTGCGAGGGGGAATGGCGCAAATTGAACACCCTCAATCATTATCGCGTCCCGGACTGCGCGTGTCTCAGTCTTGTCGCTAAACAGAGCTCCGTTTATAATTTGTCCAACATGGAGAAAAATGACAAGTCACATACGTACGAGACACTGAACAGAGGCAAATACGGTTCTGCCAGCCCTCCCGCAAGCCCTCTTAAGTACGAGCACGGTGGCGGTTTCAAGTACTGGCATCTCGTGCGGCACCACGACGGCGACGCACACAAGGAGGGCGAGCGTGGTAACAAGATGGTCTCGGAAATATACCTTACCCGTCTGCTTGCGACCAAGGGCACACTGCAGAAGTTTGTGGACGATTTGTTTGAGACCATCTTCAGCACCGCGCACCGTGGCTCCGCGCTGCCGCTGGCCATCAAATACATGTTCGACTTCCTCGATGACCAGGCGTTGCAGCACGCTATTTCCGACCCTGAGGTCGTGCACACCTGGAAAAGTAATTCTCTTCCGCTTCGTTTCTGGGTTAATTTAATTAAAAATCCCAATTTCGTTTTCGACGTCCACAAGTCTAATACAGTCGATTCATGCTTGTCGGTTATCGCGCAAACGTTCATGGACTCGTGTTCGACATCTGATCATATCCTCGGCAAGGACTCGCCCTCCTCGAAGCTGCTGTACGCAAAAGACATTCCCGTGTATAAGGAGTGGGTAGAGCGCTACTACGCAGACATAAAGCTGATGCCGGCCATATCGGACCAGGACATGAACGCCATGCTGGCGGAGGAGTCGCGCCTACACACTAAGGAGTTCAACACGAATTGCGCGCTCAACGAGTTGTATGCATACGCCGTCAAATACAACGAGCAGCTAATGGTGACGCTGGAGGAGGATGAGTTCTCGCAGAAGCAGCGGCTAGCGTACCGCCTGGAGCAGGTGCACGGCCTCATGGCACACAACTACGATGTGTAAGCCGCCCCGGCCGTATCGCGCCGTACGCGCATCGCCCACCGCCCTGTATATAATGCCACCCCCGCACATATCTCTGCTGGCAACCATTGTATATATTAGATAGTGTACAGTCTTTAATATTGTAATTTTTGTATTATTTCAGCGGTCCGATGTCGTTTTTTAATTTTATATAATGAACTTTGTATTGTTTTACACGACGAACCCGACCGGCCGAGGTCGTGCCGCAGTATGCATCGTAAACTTAAAATTTGTGTATGTCTGTCTATGTGTGCTCGCGTCGTACGAGATAATGTTACGTCGATCGGTGTAAAATGTGTGTCGCAAACGAAATCGCATGTGAGCCCCTTGGCGAGCTTATCCCAGCTCGCCGGCGGGCGTTTTTAAATTTGTACTCGCAGTATTATTAACGAAATAACCGACAGTGAACCGGTAACGATTCCATTAATAAATATCGTCGAATGTATGCGTGTGTTTTTATTCGGGCGGCGCAGCGCCACGGCCACGGCCGACGAAAGCCCAACGCTTGGCAGCTGAAGGCGGGGAGCACGCGGTACCGTCTCGCCTCGCCCCGGGGCGCGGCGCTCGCCTCTTGTCACCTCACTCATCCATTACCTCCGCGGCCCGTGTGGCCCGCGCCCGGCCGCGGCGGGGCGAGACGGTCACCAACGAGCGGCCCTGCTGTTTCAGCCGCTACGCGAGGGTCGCGGCGCGGACCGCGTTCGCGGTACTGAACAACATTTACTGCATACCCGCCTACGTGGTGTGGATGATGGCGCTGCGCCTCGTCAGACCCGTGTTCGCCCCCCTCTACTGGAAAGTGGAAGGCCTGCTGTACCACTGGCTGCTGGCGATGGTGTCGCTGTGGGCCTGGACGGCGGGATACGAGCGTAAGTATTCATCCATCTCTACGAAGTTGTACATTCCTGGCGAAATTATCTTACGATTATCACATTCATGTTTAGCCTCTGTTAAAAACAAATCTAGTTTTTATTTTTAGTGTAGTTAACGATAGGCATGACCATCTTTGTAGTTATGGTGGATGGGTCAATCTTAAATAAATTTTGAATCTTCTATGATTTCTAAAAGTTATGTTGAGTGATCACTTAGGGCTGCAACTGAACTGTTAAATAATTAGATAATGATAAATATATTGCAAATGATAATATTCGCATAAACACTACTAAGACGAGAACTACTACTTGATAAGGATTAATTGTTTCACTAAAAAGACATGAACGATGTTTGTTCTGGGCTACGTAAGGTTTATCATTCTATCTAGGTGGATTAAGATTTAAATAACTGTTATACAATAGCACTGAAGAACAGGTACATTATCTAGACAAAGTAGCATTATAAACGAATATCCGTCATGTTGAAGGTAATGAAGGGAAGGGTTTTGTACACCCTATTTTGCCGAAAGAAACTCGAATAAATTAAAATTCTGTTCTAAAATTTTGATCTACTAATTCATGACACATTTGATAACTAATATTCGAAGTAGATTATTGCTTACTAGAATGTAGTTGTAATTTAAATTTGGTCGACATTTATCTAAATGTATAAGAGGTAACAACTAAAGTTTAGATAGATTTGCTCTAAGACACAAATTTAAACCAAAACAAGTTACTTTATACATTAATAAACATTTACACATTAAAAAATTACGACTTGAATGTATTTGCCGAGTGACGTCATCGAAGGCACAATAAGGTAAGTTCATAGTTTACTTAATCAAGTACAAAGGCCTTGGATGAAATCACCTTGCGTTACAACGTATGGTCTGATTTCTCAGTTAATGTTTACGCTATATTATATTTTATACAGTAAGCAGTGACTTACTGTTACTTAAAGCTAGGATTTGAACAAACCAGGTGATAGTGATGAATCCAGTTATTATTTCTTCTATGGACTAAGTTATATCTAGTCTAAATACTTGCACAGCAAATAATTAATCTTACACTGTTATATTAGTAATACAGATTGTAAATTATTCTGAAATTAATAGGCACTTTTGAAAAGATTATTTTATTCTTATTTATGAAATTGTATTACTTAGTATTCATTTATTTTTCTGAATGATGTTCACTTCTAAAACTATCATCGTACAATGTATTCCAATTAGGTTCGACTTCATGCAAAGATCATCATCATCACAATTATTTTGTCAACGTTATTTAGGTGAAGCGAGAGAGGAATTGCATGAATTATCGCTCCGGTAAGTATCGCTAGCTCTTAGACAGCAAGGTATTCAAGGAAATAGGTCATAAGAATTCTCTTACGTTTCCACTTACCATTTTTTCCTACAAGTTGGTAACGTCAGGTAAAGAAAATAGCATAGTTTTTGTAAAAAGATAGGTAATGACTACATTGTCCTTGTCAAATTGATGAAATTAGTGACTAGTTGAACTTAACTGAACTTAGTTGAACTTAACTAGAACCTTATCTACAAAGAATACCTGTTTACCCGTCTGATATCGTACTTGAGTCATCGGGTGACTGTACACGTGGTTAGTCAGTGCCTGTAATAAAGTCCAATAAAAATATACAGAATCGTGTTGCGACGTTCTCATTTTGTATATTTTTGTTTCTCATATCGCTTTTGTATGTTTTAATGCGAGTTGGTAAATGCGACAGTTTGTAGGTTGAATGTAGAACTCGCGGCGAGCATTCGTTGTGATTAATGAATAACAGGAATGATTAAAAGGAACAAACAAGGAATTGTTTAAGTCGAAATTTTAGTTAATAAGTTGCCTAATAATGTGATTTGCTAATGCGAAGTTTATTTCAATTATAAAAAGGTACAGTAAGTTATAAAAATGATTTATCTTTATTTATGTGAGATCATTTATAAATGGACCATGAAACGAATTCGTGCCACGTCCCCCTGCCGATAACTGGCAATCACATTGCGAATATATCTTCTCTTACGCAAGCTTCAAATTAGATTTCTCGTGGCGGCTGCGAAATTGATTTTTGCAGCGGTGCACAACCGTCAATGGAACAATGTAACGATACGGTATCGAGGGACCGGTCGCTCGGCACCTCGGCAGCCTGTATTGACCTTATGCGGCTGCGTAGTTGTACCGGAGGACGGTCGATGACCGCCCCCACCACTGGCTAGGAATGCCGGGTGCCTCCTCGCCCCGCGCCTCCCCCCCGTCCGCTCGTCACGTTTGCACACGAGTGGCAGATTTGCATGTCAGCCCTACTTCACTTGTGAACCGTCGAGTGCGCTCGAAAAATCTCATTACATATATTACTCTCTTTTAATTTGTAATTGAATGAACAATATACTTATTCGCCAGTCGACCGACCGGTCTCGTACCGCTCTCGACTTGCATTTTTGACCGGTGACTCATGCTGGGGACCCGCATAATATATTCCATGTATTTTGATATGCAAACTCGATGTCTTTAAAAGCTATTTCTGTTCGGTTTCGTGTTCATTAATACTGTAAAGCTCTTTTATAATGCCACTTGTGGCGAAAGCTTTTAGACTTGTGTGCAGTAAATAAACCATAACTTTGTTGCAATTATTTTGGTTGTTTATTTCTTCCACGGCCGTTGGAAGCATTCCATTTTTAAATATCAGTGTTTCGATGAAGTTGTTACAAAGTTGTGCTACCATATTAAACGTAACGAGCTTAATATGACGTTCATGTCACCGTCTCATCTCGAGTTCCGGCCACGTCAAAGTTCAAGCTCTTCCCCCAATTACACTCGACAGTGGATGCGGAACCAGTTTCGAGGAATTCCGCCCTTAATGAAGTTGGTCGAAGTCGATCCGGCTCAGAAAGTTCACAGACTGTCGTATACGGTGAAAGCATGATCCGGTAATTGTTGAATATTTTTTAAATGTCTCCACGGCTTATATTCCTTTGAAGTTTCGACTGCCCTCCATTTTGGTTCGTATAAAGTAATTGCTTGGATTTTATTATTTTTGGTAATGGTCTTAAAACGTACTTAAGATACATGTTATATCTTTTACAACAGTATAAATACTTTAGCATGAAATGTGATTATTCCTTCCTTAATTAAAGAGTATCCTTTAGATATAGACACATGTGTTTGTTCTTAAAGTTGAAAACAAAAAAAGTTTTGCTACACAATGTAACATAAGAATTTATCGATAAAAGTAGGTAATATATTAAAACAATAGAGGTATTCAGATTTGAGAACAATCGTCATACGTTTATGAGAAACTATATGTATTCAAGGAGCGTACAGTGCGGTCATGAATTAAAAGTGCTCAAGCGTTACAACTGCCACAGAAGCATCCTTCGATTGTAACGCCGGGATGCAAATTGGAACCTTCCTGTGGCGACTGAGATTCCGACGTCCTTTCTTGACTCATAAAGAATTAAACGCTTATACACACGAACTTATGAATATTTAAAACGTTTGACGTCAACGATTACATTATCTTTTGCTTATTTCCTTCGTGTTAGTCTTGAAATTAATGTGTAATTATAACATCCAATTTAATAATTTGTTTCTCCAAACCGACAAAGGAACTCCAGTCTAGTTCATGGAACCAAGGTCCTCAATTCGTGGAATTTTAAAAAAGAACGAAATAGCGCTTGATTGATTAACCGTTGCCGCACTGTTAAAAAAAGGCAGGATCTTTTTTTAAACTGTGCCATTGAACATATAATTTCTGAATTGTTCGCAAAATGTTTTGTTAATACATCGTTTATGTTACCAGACACAATCTTGTCATACGTATGTATAAATAATTGAAAAAAAATAACTACAACGGTATTTACTAGTAAGTTTTTTTTGTTTTACCGCGTTTTTTGTCGATGTTAAATGTTGTAGAAAAATACTATTTACGCTAGACGAAATTAATATCAATACTTAATAATTTCCTAGTCTTCCTGTTTATTTAATAACGACTAAACTACTGTTTATTTAGGACGTTTGTCAAAAACCGGTATCATGCGGGCGGCCATCTTGCTCTCTTCATTTCACGCATCTACGCTTTTTATATCTCTTTTTCCTATTTTTCAAGAGGAGTAAAAGGGATAGCTATATATTTTTACATAAATGTTTAGGTAGTGAAAACGCATTTAGTTAGGCACATGATTCATGCGTCCGTTCCTTTAGTTTTATGAATAGCTTCATTGATTAGCTTTTGTTCGCTTATTGGTGCGCATAAATAAATGTCTGAATCAGTTTTTTCCTGTAGGCATTTTTATTTGTTAATTTACTTTTTAATTCACTACGCATTTCCTCTGAGTTTATTGCTTAAGTCTGATACAAGGACAACGAGTTCGAATGGTCTCAGGTTAAAACAGGGTGTAAATTTGTAATCAATGTAGTTTATAAGTTTTCGGCCAGTTAGAAAAATAAGTTTTAATAGTAAGACTTACATGTCTGATCTTTATTCATTACTCTTATATTAAAATTCTCTTAGTTATTATTGTTATAAATGGTCTGAAGATATTCGTTGGATAATTTATAT